CCTAATCCTGTTCTGTAAAAATGACCTGCTTTAAGCTACAAAAAAACAAACAAAGCAGGCAGCTTTGTGTCTGCAGGCGGTGAAAGGATCGCTGCACACCGTCTAAAGGGAGGAATAAACTCCTGTGACCTGTGGAGGATGTTTGCTGTCTGAACTGTTTTCAGTTAGAGCTCAGCTAGCTAGCTAGGCTAACCCTTAGCTAGCCAACTTTAAATGGGAAGCCGTCTGTCTGTCAGGCAGCGCGCGGCCACACTCGGCAGATCACACATGCCTTTAAACGTCTTGAAATGGAAAAGAAATCACGCGCTCTTTCTTTTATAGCCTCACTTTTTTTTTTCTGTCGCCAACTTCTCGTTAAGCACAAAAGTGACATAATAGGCAGAGAAGCACCGTTGCAGCGCAGCGTAACCCCCGGGAGCCCTGTTATGTCTGCTGGAGGTGCTTACTGGCGACAATCGGAGGGCTCAGACTATTTCCAAGAACAATAATACCAGAATACAGCGCTTTTTTAGCTCTGACTCGTTTAATATCAAATTTAACCCTGATTCTCTTTAAATAAAATGCATAATTAAATGTATCTGTCTTATTGAAGGTGTTACAAGGGGAGGGGAAAAGCCAACTCCATGGCCCATGGGAACTGCTCTCCTCCAGAGATTACACCGACCCTCTCTGGCTAAATGTGTGGGAATATATTTAGGGGTTTAAAAGGGGAAAAAGCTGATGTTGGCTACCTGTTAGTCTCAGTTTGACGGGGCCATTCCTCCGGACTCCTTGGTTAGACATCTCTTGATCTTGATCAGCGCCTGCTGAAAACGTGTGGTTGGATGTAGAAAAATAATAACAAAAAAAGGTTTAATTAAGCTCTCCGCCAGTTTTAGTCAGTGATGGATTCAAAGCATTGCAGCCCGGGTGTGGACGGAACTTCCATAGCGACCGCTCATAAATGCCAAAAAAAATTAAAATAAAAAGTGAAAATGATAGATTTCTTTATCTTTGAAAAAAGAAAAATGTGTCCAGCGGTGGTGAGATGAGTAAACGGGCTGCAGAGGATGGCGGTGACTGGCCCGGGCTCCTCTCAGCTCCTCCGCGGCTGAAGTGCGGAGCCTCCAGGGGTAGATCCCGCTTCCCGAGCTGACCGGTGACGACAGCACTCTCTGGGGGAGACAGACATTTCTCCAGCATGTGGCCCAGAGCCCGGACTCACACACCCACAGGGCCGGTGTGTGTGTGTGTGTGCGCTTCATGGGGCGGGGTAAAAGTCTAGCTTCAAAGAAAACTAAAAAATATATATATATTAATAGAAAATTAATCACATTTTTGTTTTACAAATGAAAAGTGACGTGGATAGGCTTAAACAAAAATAAAATATAGGTCACATAAATGGTATAAAAGAGTCAATATCTGTGGAATTTAATCGCAGCTACTGAACAGTGGCGGTTCTACATGAAATTACTAAGGGGGCAGGGTGGGGCCCATGGGGGGTGGGGGGTTCTGGACAGGGACCAGTGAGTCCTGCATGGGTCTGACTTATCCCCTTTTAATCCTGGCCTGGCTGCTCAGTGTTGCAGTGGATAGCACTGCTGCCTTGCAGCAACAAGGTTCCGGGTTCGATTCCATGGAGTTTGCATGTTCTCTCAAACATGCATGGGTTCTCTCCAATCCTGGTCCTCAAGGCACACTGCCCTGCATGTTTTAGATGTTTCCCAGCTTTCACACACCTGTTATCAATTGATAGTAGATTATCAGGCCTTTCTGAACTGCAATCATCTGAATCAGTTGTGCTGAAGCTCAGAAACATCCAAAACATGCAGAGCAGTGTGCCTTGAGGACCAGGGTTTAAAAACACTGCCGTAGACGACTGGAGATAGGCACCAGCACATCTTGCGACTCCGCTCGGGATAAGCTTGACAAAAAAATGGATGCGTGGCATGGACGTAATTTTGTGGGAGGACATGTCCCCCACACTTTTTCAAACATCCGTTTTGGTCCCCAGCACTTTTTACTGCCCAAAAACAATGTTACGCTACAGTACAATGGTATTCGTTGAGCACTAGGACCAAGCGGAAAACAGCAGCTCAAGCTGAAACCCGCTTCCCTGAGTTTGGACCGCCCACAAGCTCCTGATTGGCCCACTGTCTTTTTCTCGTGTGATTGGCTACCACCGCTGTCACTTAATGAGAAACTAACTTTACAAACATCTTTGGATAGTTAAACACGCTCAAGTTAGTTATATTAAAAAATACTTAAAAAAATACTTGCACCCTCCCCTCTCTGAAATCTAAATTTCCTTTGTGCCATATGGACCCGTAAATAATGATGATTATTTATTTAAAACAAAACATTATTATTATCAATATTAAGAATAATAATATGATCATTATTAATGAATTATTAGTTATAATAATAACAGAGGCGGTAAAGAACATAGCCTCACACTCACATCCAGTGCTCACTGCATTCACAGATTAACAGTTGTAAACTGGCCAAAGTAAGAAGGTTTGCCTTGTTACTTAAAAAATTACTGTTACCTGGATATTCTTGATTCAATTAATTTTTTTAAGATGTAGAGTTAATAAATAAAAAAATTAATAAGTTTCATTCATACTGTAATTATATGATAACTGCATTTTGTTCATTTATACCCGCGCCCGTATCCATGTAATTATACCGGGTGATTTTTCTACCCATAAATGTACATTTTATACCCAGCACCGGGTCAGTTACCCGCAGGTACCCGACCTGGTGCAGGACTCTGGACCAGTCCCCTAATGATCATATAGGCCTAGTGACTGATAGCTCCATTGGACGTACGTATTTCATTTTTTAGATACAACTCTGTTTTGATTATGATTTTGAAATTAAAGTGATAGCTTCAGTCGTACTGAGATATGATCATAGTTTTCATCTACTAAATGCTATTTTGAACCAGATAAAAAATCACACTTGTTACATTTATTTCTAAAACTGTTTAGCTTAATTTAAAATAAGTCAAAAATGTGTTATATTCTTGATTAATGTATTTATGTAGACATAATTCTAAAGAACAGCTTTATTTGATCTTTTAGATGGTTCTTATATCACAGCTACTTATTTCAATTACTTCCAAGGTAATTTTTGATTTTAATTAAAGTAAAATTAAGATTTCAAGCCAAAAAATACAGTTTTTCAAATGGAACAACATAATTTTAATTAAACAAAATTACACATTTCACTTAATTTAGTGCATTTAGCTCTTTTGTTCAACGTCTTTTTATTATAAATCTTAATTGATAAATTCTTCTTTTTGTTTTATGCTTTTCTTTGCCCCCATGAAAACATGCTAAACTGCCCAGGCCCCCCTCAGAAAGTATTGTCTAGAGACGCCACTGGGGGCCAGTGATTATTCATGGAGGCACCGAACATAAAGAAACAACAAAAAAGGGGCAATAGTTCTCCATTAAAGGTCTTAGCTACAAGTTCTTCATCAAATATGTCAGACATGTCTCTGTTCCAGCACACCTGCTTCCAATTAGGGCTCCTCCTTTGCAATCAAGTGCTTCAGAGGTCTGTTAATCATCCATTATTATTTGATGTGATGCAACAAGGGAACATCTAAAACATGCAGGGCCGGGGCCCCTGAGGAAATGGGCTAGGAACCACTGGGATACACCAACAGACGCAGTAGGTTGAAGACGTGAGTCGGAGTTCAGCAATGCCAGATCATAATGGCTCTGTGATAAAGCTGAAAAACTGCTTCTTAGCTCTATATTCATCCGATTTATCCTCTGTTGATGCTATTGGGGATGCTTTTCTTTAAAGTCTATGAAGATAAATAGATCTATATTTAGAATAACACTTAAAGAAATCTTATTTTCAAAAAGTCTTGAGATCAGCGTAGGGTAGGGCCAGACCAGATGAACTTAAAATCTTATCACGATACTTGGGAACTATCGTGGTCATGAAGTGAGGATAAAAAAAAATTTATTTCCGCTGTCATTCTTGGGTAACTGTATAGATCTGACTGAATGCCAAAGCAATCATGGCCACTCAATCTGAAATACTGCTTTGGAAAAATAATCAAATACACGTTTGAAATGAAGCTAAAGCAAAATTTTCAGTCTGGGAGACTCTTATCAGCTTCACCTGAAAAACCTATTATGTCCCTCGTTCAGCTCCAGCCAATCAACCCAGGGCCGCACCTTCTCCGAAGCCAGTCATCTTTCAAGGTCTACTTCATTTAGCTCAGCCTAGTTTCCCTCTCCTGCAAGCAAGCAAACTTTCACTGGAGGATTCTTCCTGTTAAAAGTTAATTTTCCTCCCTACTGCCCTACATGCATGCTCTGTGTGAGGGCAGAGAGTCAACGAGCCCTCACAATCAGCTGGTTTTCCTTAGATAGAAATAAGTTAAAGAACATGAATGTGTTACCTGTGTAAATAAATTTAATACTTTAATACTAATTGTAGACTTTTACTCTGTGAGTCTCAGCAGTTGTTTAAAAAACTGTGTTTTAAATCACTATACAATAATCGTATTCAATCACATTCTTCAAACTTGTCAATCCTCAAATGGGCGGAAAAAAGAGGAAGAAAAGTTTTTAAAAGGGCCATCATTAAAAACATAATTAATTCTAAAAACCCTGAACATAACTAAAAACTTTCTTTTCACACAGCATTAGTCAAAACTGTAAATCATTATATTGTATCATTTTTTGACTGATCAAAAAAGTTGGATCTTTGTTCCCTTAGCTGGATCTGCTGGTAGGACACATTCTATAATAACTATAATTCAATTTTATTGTCATTACACTGTCACAAGTACAGAGCAACAAAATGAATTCTCTGTATTTAACCAATCCCCTTGGGGAGCAGTGGGCTGCCATTGTGCGGCGCCTGGGGAGCAGTGTGGGGTTAAGGGTCTCCCTCAGGGATCCAGAGTGGCAGTTTGTGGGAGTGAGGGATCGAACTCAAAATCTCAGGATTCAAAGCCCTATGCCCTAACCACTAGGCCACCACTCCCCCATTCAAGTTGTTATTGAATTTCACCCAAGAAATTATTTTAACGGCAGCAAATCGCCAATTGGCTGCACATTTTACGCCACTAACACACATCCTGGACTGCTTTAAAAGGTTTATATCAAATCGTGTTAATGTGTTCTACTTATCTAATCAAAGTCCAAACTAAAATCCAATTAAGAATGTGTCCTGAAAATCACTGTATTTACAGATCTTCTCCACCCTATCATACTGCTCTATAGGGATAGTTACATCCCTAAATACTCACAGCTGTAATTATGAGATATAATGAGATATAACAATAAATAATTAACTTTGAGATTATTGACTTAAATGTAAAAACAAAACAAAAAACAAAGTTAGATCCTTTTCTTTCTACTCCTCAAATATCCAGTGTCTTGCGACCCCTAGTGGTTAGATTTGGTATATACCTTTATTGCAACAATCAATTGCTGACACAGCTTTATTTTTTAGAGCCATCTAACCTCTCTGCTCTCTCTCTGCCAGGTATCATACTTTTTTTTTGTCTTTTTTTTCACATACCTTCTCCATCTGTTAACACTTCATATTGGTTGTAACTTAAGTACAATTCTGAAATATATACGTTTGATCACTAAACATTGATATATCCCCCTTTTTTGTAATGTTCTTTTATCCAGGTTGTAACAAATTAAAAACCCTAGATATATCCTACTATGATTTTTCACATATTATCCCAATGTGGCTCTCTATCGTGCTGCAAATTGTGAATATGCATTCTACGTATATAGTCTGTTCTATCACTGCATTTTATTTTATTTATTTTCTTTATTTTAGCATATCATATTGTATAGAAACAAAAGTTTTGTAGTTTTTTATTCTTTGAACATGTTTTAACAATTTATTCATTGCAGACATTTGGAAGTGATACATTTTAGCTTTTTTTTTTTTTTTTTCCAGAGGTGGGAATAAATAAGTTGCTTTAGCACAGCAGCAAAAGATTATAGAAGAAATGGTCACACAAATGAGGACCTTACAAAAGTGTATAAGAATAACAAAATAGTGAAAAGTTAAAAAATTTAAAACTGTACTTGTTAGTGTTTTAACAATATAAAACTGCCCCTGGAGAATAAAATAACCAACATACAGCTGTGGAAATGTTTACAGTATTGGATATTTGAAAATATCAGCAACATCAGAGATGTGCAAAATGACAGCATGTTATTTCACTGACTAAGATAGAAACTGTGCAAAATCAGCATGAATGTAACAACTTATTGAGGTTATTGGGAACAGTGGTGGTTATAAAGTCTTCCAGCTGCTGGGAGGAAGGATCTGTGATAACGCTCCCTGGTGCATTTAAGGTGCAGCAGTCTGTCACTGAAGGAGCTCTCCAGTTCTGCAACAGCTTCATGCATGGGGTGGGAGACAATATCCACCAGAGATGTTAATCTAGCTAGGATCCTGTATTTCTCTCATTCTTTAAAAAGAACAGAATAAACTTTGTTCAGAACAAATATTTTTATCCCTTAAAGGTAAATAAAAAAATAGTTTTCACCTTTAGAATCCTGGTACTATTGGCATGTGATGGTTACAAAAATGGCCGTTAAGTTTTCCTGTTTTCAAAGAACTGCCAAAAGTACTTACTATTGATTATAGCACATTTTATAGCTCAAAAACTATATGATTTCAGGGGTCCCTTACATAAAAAAAAAGAACAAAAAACGAAAAATCTCATCTCAAGTCATCCTTTGCAATAGAAACTGACAGCTGGTGACCAAGAGTTTGAAACTGGTTGAAGACAAGATTTGAAGACACATAAAAAAATAAAATTAACATTTATGATTCAGGTTTTGTCCTTTTATTTGATTTTTCGCTTTCATCACATGAAAGTAAAAAGTTGGTTTTGAGAACTTTTAAAATTTAAAACTCCCTCTGAAAGAAAAAGAAAATCAAAGGAGAGATCTTTATTTATTCCCTCCATCTTGAACCGCTAGTTTTGGTTTATGTTGTCTAGTTGTGTCTCACTGTGTGGTGGACCTGCTGCAAACATTTCAAACGGGCTTCAAAAAAACAGGTTTTACTCAAATAGAGGAATTGTTACAATTTCACAAATTTTATGTAATGCAAAAAAACTAATCAATAAAGTTTCCTGTAAATAAGGTTAAATAAGGCCCTTTATTTGAGCAGCAAAGTAAAATCATCTAACAGAAACGTTTTTCAACCCTTAAGACTATAGAATACACCTAATTTAAGACTTAATTGCAAAAAGCGTATTCATTTCCAAATTATGTTGCATAAAGTCTAAATATCACTGATTTCAAGAAAATTTTACTTTTTTCATTGCATCTATTAATACTAGTTTAGCCTTAACACACATCTGTATCAATTACCTGAAACATCTGGTTATGGTGTTTACTTAGGTTATAGTTGTGTGATACAAATTTGATGACTAGCTGGTCATAAATGTTGGCATTTTATATTTTGAATCAATTAAAGTGTTAAGTGGCAGTACCTGTTGCACAACTTGAGATTTTATACATTACCATGTTAAGGTTAAACCCAAAGGAATGATCTTTAACATAAGAAAAATAAAGTTAAAATGCTCACAAGCCAAGCAAAAAGTGATTAAAGTTTAAAAACTAAATTCTTAGTGCCCGTGCAACACCAATCTTAATGTGATCGTTACAAAACATGTTTAGCAATATGTTTTTGCATGAACTTTTTATAGAAGCAGTTTGAAACTTAAGTGACCATATCAGGACAAGTGATTGTTTTTGGTCTTTAATACATCTCATTTTTTTTCTCCATTAAAATTATTTTTACATGTTACAAAAGTAATTGGTTTTGCTCCATCCCCCCCATCACACTCTACTTCAAAATTTGAATTTCTAAGTATTTCATACGTGCCCCTATAAAAGGTAAAAAAAAAAAAAAAAATTTAGATTAAGGAATATTTGTTTAAATATCCACCTAAAGTCAACCAATATTCAGACCCTTTTCGAATTCCCAAACTTTCTGCATTTGATGTCAGCAGATCCATAACATATAGTTTTAGTTCCTGAACTCTGAGATTCAAGATAAATGCACACCAGCAAATATAGTCCAACTTTATTTACACATTTGTTCCCACATAAAAAGTATGTACAGTACATACAAATATTGGCAAAATACCACATGGACACAGGACAGACCGTAGCAGTGTTACAGTAGAGGATGAGAGGAAGAAGGCTAGAAGTTAAAATTGCTCTGGTTTTCACTGATCTGGAACGCATAACCGTCTTCAGTAGCTTCAGGGACCACACTCTGCACCTCCTCATCCTTCAGTGGAGAATAACACTGTTAGTTGACAGTTCAGGATGAATAAAAGCTCAAACATTTCCCTCTAACTCACCTCTTCAGAGAAGTATTTCTCTATCAGGTTGAGCGCAGCTTTGTAGATCATCTCGTTCTCATGAGCCTGCAGCGCCTCGATCTTATCCAGTCCGCCGCATTCCTCGATCATCAGACTCAGTTTGTCCGACTCTCCGATTTTATCCCCAGCCTGCAGAGACAGAGGAATATTAAACCACCGTCCATGTGTGCAGACAGATCACACCTTCGACGCGTGTCAAGGTGGTCTACGCACCATGAAGATGTTGGTAATGGCGTCCAGGATGACGAGGACCGTTTTGCTGTCCTTGGAGGAAAGCAGGTTCAGGAGAGGCTCCAGGACGTTGGCTTGAACGAGGTAAACCACCTGCTGAACAGTGCCCCCGCTGGTGAAGTTTGTTACTGCCCACACAGCCTCCTTCTGAGTCTTGTAGTCGCCCTGCAGAGAATAATTAATGACATTTCTTAATATGATCCACCTGATCAACCACTAATCTCTGGTTTCCTCTGATGTCTGACCTGATCATTCAAATTTTACAAATATGAGCTATGACAGAAAACCCGATGTGGCCGATAGACTAACGTGTTTAGTAGGAATAGGACGACAAAACGTACTCTAACAAGGAGGTCCACCATGTACGGAACAAGGCCTGCGTTGATGACCTCCTGGATCTGGGTGTCTTTCCCAGCTGTGATGTTGGACAGAGTCCACGCCGCCTCCTTCTGAATGTTACCCTTTTTGTGGCGCAGCAGCTGCGGGAACACGGTCAGGGCGCCGGCGTCCAGAACGGCTTGAGTCTGCTCATCTGTGCCGGTGACGATGTTCCCGAGAGCACGGAGCGCTGGGGTCTTTGGGAGAGAGGAGGAAACCGATTTAAGAATCAGGTGGAGCCTTAAAGCTGGGATTAACTGTTACAGTGGGAGGAAAAAAATAATTTGTAGAATTTTACGTACAACTACAGACAGCTCTTCATAACCGAGCAGTTTCACCAGACGGGGAATCAAACCAGTCTCCACCACCACCTGGATACGATCGTTAGAACCGTCCGTCAGGTAGGAAACAGCCCAGCATGCGTCGGCCAACACCTCCAGGTCGTCATTGTGGAGGAGACGGATGAGAGCCGGTAGGATCTGCTTGATGGCTTCTATGGGCGGAGAGGGGTTCTTATTGCGGCAGAGGTTGGACAGAGTCCATGTCACGTTCCTTAGATAGCCAGGCTGTTTAAGATGGAAGGAAAAGGGTTTTTAGTGAAATGTGCCCCCTAGAGGCTGGTGAGGGGAATTACCAGGATTTCAACCCAGAAAAACAGGTTTTAATTCAACAAAAAACACTTTGATCTTAAAGGAAAATGTAATTCAAAAGATGTAATAAAATAATGCTACTTACAGTGAATACAGCCAGGTCAGGGACAGCCAGCAAACTGAGCAGAGGCGTTATGGCCCCATGCTTAATCACCCTGTCTCTAAGAGCAGATCCATCACCTGAAAAGAAGGTGAAAGCAAATGTGAATAATTTGCAATCTTTCCATCAAAATAAGAGACTATATTCCGGTATTTACCAGCAATATTTCCAAGTGCCCAGACAGCCTGCTCGCTGATGTGCTGGTGAGGAGAGGTGACCAGACTGATGAAGGCAGGAATGGCCCCTCCATCCACCACCGCAGCCGTCTGATCAGACGTCCCAGAGGCGATGTTTGTCAGAGCCCAGGACGCCTCAAACTGAATCGGATGGCAGTCGCTCAGCCCCAGGAAGGCCACGAACTTCGGTATGAGGCCAGCGCCAATCATCTGGTCAATGGGCGGGTGTTTGTCACGGGACAGAAGCTTCCTGTAGGGGAGGTGTTCCAAGTTAGGCTTCTCATTAAAAGCACACTGGAGTTAAGAAGCATTTTTTTTTTAAAGACATCTTACCGTGCAGCCTGGGTCGCCTGGAGCTGGGCCTCACGATTCTCACTGTTCACTCCAGCCACGATTTTATCAACACTCCATGGTTGAAACGCCTGCAAATGAAAAAACAAACCTTATACAAGCAGGGCTTATAACTCAGGGCAGGACTGAATCCTGCCTTGGTTTTTCTAATCTTGGATGATCAGTCGATACACGGATATCTGATCTTGAATAGGTTCATTAGGGCTGAAACAATTTATCAAATTAATCTACTATTAAAAATAATCCTAGACCAATTTAGTAATCGATAAATCGTTAACTGGATTATAAAGTATCTAAAACATTAATTTAGCTGACAGAGCAACCCTGTTAAAGTGATCTTACCAAAGCCTTAATATATAAATATTTTGCATTTAAGATTAAAAAAACCTTTTCATCTGTCAATATGCTCCATCCAGAAAGTTTTTGTTTCACCTGGTTTAATTTCATAAAAACTATCTAAGAAACCTTTTGCCATATGATTATTCCAGAAATATGGATTAATTCATTGGCAATAGGTGTGCAGGTGGTGCAGCAGTTAGCGAGCACAACCCATATTCGGAGGCCTTAGTCCTCGCCGCGGCCGACCCGGAAACGAATCTGGCCCGTGGTCCTTTGCCGCATGTCTCTCCCCCTCTCTCATAGCCCCCTTTTCCTGTCAGCCTACTGCCAAAAAAAGAGCCACAAAAACTCAAAAAAATAAAAAAATTAATTCATTAGCAATAAAATTAGTCAGTTGCAGCCTTAAAGTTGAAAGTCTAAAAATAAGTTTCTTAATGCCGTTTTCCTTTAATTTAAGAGCACTACCTCTACCATAGATTAAGCCAATGAAGGTGTACTGTAACCAAACACCCCAGTGCCAGTTATAAAAAAAAAAAAAAAATCTGATATTATTAGACATGTGTGACGTCAGTATTGGCTGATTAAAAGCTTGATTGCTGAAGGAGATCAGGTTTCAACTATGTAGAGAAAGGAAGCAATTAGAAAAGGGTGAAAAGACTGATGAATTAATGTGAGGAAGGTTTAATTTTTACAATTCTGGTCAGGCATTATCTGGACAGGAAAAAAAAAGCCGTTAATCAGGCTTTGTATTTAGATCTTCAGTCACTTTTTCCTTGGGTCGGCCATGCTGCTAGACAAGCCTGGGTCACATTAATGAAGTGAAAAAGCTCACCTGGCTGTTCTGGTTCCTCTCCTGGAGGGGAGAGGTCGCCTCATCCGGGTCTTCGGACACATTTCTCCTCTTGAACATCTGGTCATCTTTCTTGGCCTTTCGAAGCTCCACGTTCACCTCCACTCTCCTGCGTCGGAGCTCCTGCGTTAAATTAAAATAATTAAAAATTAAAATAAATCCTCTGCTTTAATCCCTCCAGCTTCGGTTCAGGTAGAAAACTCACATTGACATCTTTGCCTTTGTTCTTGAACTTGTTGAGTCGTGCGACATTCTCAGACATTTTCAGAAAGGTTATTAGGAACCGTTTGCAGTCAGGAAATAGTCCGGTTATGGTTCAACGCCTGCAAAGAAAAACCGTTTACTTTTTATATCGTTTTCGCTGAACTTGACTACCGGATATTCCATCCGGGTCCTGGCAACCACCGACTTAAGCCTGCTGTGGTATTTCACGACAACACACCGCTTTAAAACTTCAAATTAATCAACCAAAGGGTCAGTTAAGTAAGGTATTTAAGTTAAAATCACACAAAATTGAATAAATATTTTTAAAATAAGGGAATAAGGTTTAAAAAAATCAAGCTAAGCGCCAATAGATACCTACCTCGTTCTCGAGTAGAAGCAGTGTCACTCAGAAAATATCGGACAGACCTTTAAATTCCTGCACACAGGCCTCTGATTGGACCATTTGAGCAGAAGCGTCCCTCCACGGGCGTTCATTGGTCGTTTTGAAAAAAAATCTCATGCGTCACAGGATATAGCGTCACTTCACGAGAGTATCGCGAGATGTTAACTGTATCAATGCGCTGATCCAGGATCGGTTGGGTTAGTGTGCAGCCGTTGGTGGAACTGAGAGCAAACTGTTCCAGGATCGAGAAGCTCGACTCAAACGTTTAAAATTCTCTAACAGGAAATGATTTAATGAAGAACACCCCTCTCTTTTCTCAAGTTTAGCATGGCCCTTTACTTTTGTTTTAAATTAATATCCCAATTTATGGAAAGTTATAGTGTTGATTTCCTTTAAAATTAAACCAACTTTATATAGTGTCTCTTTGAAGAAAAACTTTGATTAATTGACTTTATTGATCTCACAGTGGAGAAATTTTCTCGCTAAAATAGTCAAAGGAGAAGAAGAATGTATGGGATATATACAGTGCGTCCACATATGACTGCTTTATTTATTTATTTATTTATTTTT